GTTGACAGCGGCGGCCGAGGCCGACGGCAGGCCCGCGGCGGCGTCGGGGTTCGCGGCCACGCCGCCCGACGGCGCCGGGCTGGATGTGGCCGAGTTGGACTGGCTAAACTCCGGCCTGGGCAGCGGCCAGGTGCACGAGCGCGGCCGAGGCAGCGGCTCGAAGTCCGGGTCGATCTCCACCACCTGGGGCGCTTCGGCCATGGTGACCCCCGCCCCTCCCCCAGCCGCGGGAGAGCCAAGAAGGGGTAGAGCGCAGCCCCGGGGGCCAAGGGGAGGGGGCGCGAAGAGCCGGTCCAAGATTTGGGGGGGCGAGGTCGGTGCCGCGAGCGGACGGAAACCGGGAGGAAGGCGCAGCAGAGTGGAAGCGCGAGCCCAGAACTTAACTTCGCGGGTCCATCAAAATCGAGGCTCCTTCGGGTCCGCTTCACGGACGGGACAGCAGGCCAGAGTCGCCAGGCCGGGCAGCACCGGCGCCGCGCTCCTGCTGACAGGTCCCACGAACGGAAGGACGGACAGACGCCACGGGCCGCTAGCTCTCTCCGGCGGCGCGACCGCCGCGCTGCTGCCTGTTGAATGTGGCGGCGGCGGCTGCGGCTGCAGCGACTACGCGGCGGGCAGCTTACGGGATCTGCCGCCGCCCCCCGCCCGCGGCGGCGCGCGCGCCGGCCCGCCCCTGACTGACAGCTCTTGCGGCCAATTAGCGCGTGGCACCGCGGCCCGAGCAGCCAATGCACGACCACCTGGGCGGGGGCCTGTTTTCCACCAGGAGGCGGCAGTGGGTTGGTGGGGGGTAGTGGGGTGTTTTTCTCTTTCACGCTCTCTCTCTCTTTTTTTTTCGGATCTCTGTTATTATTTTCTGGTAATTCTCAAGTGTTTCTGTGAGTCTCTCGCCCTCTCACTGTTTTGATTGCTAGGAGGCAAACCAGCGTGGAGGCGGTGGCGACACTTTGTTTACTACGGAAGAGCAAAGCCGAGTACTCGGGGAGCCCGAGTGGAATGAGTCGCTGGCGTCGCCCCGACCTCCGCTTGGGCGCAGAGCGGGCTGGGGCGGGGGCCGGGGTCGCTCTGGGCTCCGGGGGCGCTGGGTGGGTGGACGGAGGCGGCCTCGCGGAATTCTTCTCAATTACCCCATGTCGGCTCCACCCACGATTTCTTTGCGGAGAAACGTGGGGAAGTCGAGGGGTTTGCTTTTGTTTTTTGTTTTCTTTCTCTGCGATCTGACAAGTCCTCCGGCCCCCGCGCGGGCCGCACACGCCCCCGGCGCCGGGGCCCTGGCGGTCAAGTCCGCCGGGAGGGCGCCCTGCCCGCCGCCTCCGCGCCCGGAACCCACCTGTCCGCACCCCCGACCCGAGCCTCTGCCGCTTGCTCTAGCCCGGGGCCAGTCTTCCAGCCCAGCAGCCCCCAGCCGCGTACACTGCCTTCTTGACCTAAAAGGCTAGAAATGAGGTAAAGGGGCTCGGCGCGAAGAAGACAGTCCTATTTCACAGGCACACACAGACCCAAAGGCATCCTAGACCTCATGCTGTCTGTGGGAACCTCTTCTCCTGGGCGGGAACCGCAGACTGTCCCCGCGTCAGTCCAGGGGCGGCGGGGAAGGGGTTAGAGGAGAGCATTTAGCGAGAACCTTGTCCCTTTATTACTTACCAATACTTAAGTTTAACTGTTTGCTTGTAATTTCTTTGCTATTTAGAAGTGATGAGGTGTTGAGAAGTAAAAACTCTAGAGGAGACTGGACCGAAGCCTTGGGAGGCAGCCCTGCCCCACCCCCAAGTTCCTTTAGGCTGCTCGCCGCGTGCGTCAATCAACCCCCACCCCACCCCACCTTTCCCCATCTGGGCTCCAGCTCCAGGACGTCCTGTCGAGATCAGTGGGGCCAAAGGTAGACAGACAATGGCCCTTGTGTCTGAGGGAGTAGAAGAAACAGTTTTCAAGTTTTGTTTTGTTTTGCTTTTGCATTTTTAGGAGGAATATGGAAGGCATTTCCTGTCAGAGGGATGGGATCACTTAGGATGGAAGATTGACAGTAGAGTTTCAAATAGCTTGTCCAAAATGACAGCTCCCAATTCTAAAAAAATCCCCTCTCTTTCTTATAGGTAATTCTTCCATTGAAAAAGTGGCATCTAAAGAAAATAGGCCTCTTTTACAAAAGTTTGAAAAGACTTCGAAATTTATTTCTTCCTTTACATTCTTACTATCATTGCCTTAGTCCAGACCCCTAATTCTTCATAATCCACTTATCACAACAGCTTCCTACTGATATTGGGGATGTGTGGGGTGGGGGTCGTGAGCCCGATGGATTGAGGATAGGGCTGGTTCCCACCCTCCTCCTCTTGTGGTCTCTTTGCGTTTACTATCAAATTTGGACAGATCGGGCCTCCTCTTCCAGCCGCTAGAGGACCTCAGTAACCCAGATGATGAGCTCAAAGGAAGGCCGTAACGTAGAAGTGTTGCTACCCTCAACCTTTCCAATTACGCTCTGTAGAGGCGGTCCGGATTCAGACGGCCGCACCCTTCAAATAGGCGGTGCCCTAGTGGATCATTCCTGGCAAGGGAAGCCAGCTGCAAATTTGGCTTGCCTTCATTTCAATTCCGGTTTTTCAGGGCCTCAATCTGCGGAGAGTATTGGTTAAGGGATTATTCTTACAGACTTTCCCCAGATCCTTAAAATCTTCTGGGCTATCCTGCCTAATTGTCTCTTTAAATATCATAGTTTGCTTTGCTTTTTTTTTTTTTATTTGACTTGAAGCAGGCGTAGAGTATCTACAGTGCCCATGTCCCTGACACATAGTTCAAAAAAGAATTAAAAATATATGTTAAAGGGGGTTTATAACTGCTTACCATACCGTTGTATGTATCAATTTACTGAACCGCAGGGTGCTAGTGAACATTTGGCTTCTTTCCAGTCTCTAGCTATCACAAACTATTCTGTAATGAGTAACCTTCTGAAAAACTCATTTTGCATCTGTGCAAGTATCTCTATAGGAGGAATTTCCGGAAGAGAGATCACTGGGTCAGCAAGTTAAACGCATTTGTAATTTTGAGAGACACTGCCAAATCGCCCTCCATAAGGGTTGTGTCAAGCTAAACTTTCTTCTCACCTAGACCCACAGAATGTTCAAGTCGAAAGTGAACTTGCGGGGGGGGGGGGGGG